CTAGCTCCAGGGGATGGTTAGAGAATTCCCCTTAACATCTCATACACAGTTTGAAGGGACACCTGATAAGAAAAGTAAGCTATCTGAGGGAGGGGGATAGCATTCTGTTAATAGTATGTAAGTAAGTAGGCCTGGAGTCTCAGCAACTCTCCTACTCAGCATGAGATAGACTGTCTTTCAGAACAGGGGAGAATGAGTCCTTCATGTAGCTAATAAGACGAGATGACATCTAGCTGCCCAGTAACGAACTGAGCAAACTCTCCTGCCCATACACATTCTGTTTATCCTCTCGCTGTGCTAGCTTCACTGGAGGCATTTTTTGGATGTGTTCTGTGAGGGTTTATGGGATAATTTATTCCAAGCCAAGAGCTAAATCTATTCTTGTTTATGTTATGCACAGTGATGTCTGTGTGATGATGGTTCATATGGAAACAAAATATCATGGGTGTTTCCTAACAAAAATTCTTAGAGACTCTCATTGTTTATGGAAAATATTACTTAGAGGGGAAAAAATGTTAGTTTCTCTTTTACATTTAAGTGATAGATTTTCAATTGTTTATGTAAACAACTATGGGAAAATATTTGTAAAACTGAATACTGGTTGCTTCATAGGGTTTTATAGTCAATGCAAAAAGAAAACCTTGCTTGTTCACTTTTTTCTTTGGCAGGGTTTCTCTGTGTAGTCCTGGAACTTGCTCTGTAGACTGGGCTGACCTTGAATGAGATCAAAGGTGTGTACCACTTTCGTACACTTTTTTATAATACTCTACATTCACAGTCCGGCACTTTTTAAGTTCATGGCTGTTTATACACTCACAGTGTGCGTGCGGGGTCAGAGAATGGCTTGCAGGAGTTGGTTATCTCCTACACTGTGGGTCCTGGAGCTTTCACAGTTCATCAGGACTGGGGGCCTCTGATGGCTGAGGCATCTTCACAGCCTGGGTTTTGTTACCACACTAGTGTCACAACATTCTTTTCAACCAGCCCCAAACAACGTTGCTTATCCTCAATTCCATATGAGCATAAACTGTGTGGGGGTTTGTGAGTATGCGCACATGCAGGTCAATATGTGGGACCCAGGTGAGCCCACATAGAAGTCAGAACAGGGCGTGAGTGTTCTGCTCCACCACGCTCCGCCTTGTTGCCTTAAGACAGCCTCTCAAAGAATTGGAAGCTTGCCATTTCAGCTAGTATGACTGGCCAATAAACTATTTGGAAAGTCTGCAACCTTGCCTGGCTTTTACATGGGTGCTGGGGATCTGAACTCAGGCACTCATGCTTGTGGAGCAAGTACTCTTACCTACTGAGCCATCTGCCCAACCCTGCACATTTTTTAAAATTTTGAGACAGGATCTTACTTTGTAGTCCAGGCTGACTTGGAACTCAAGATTCTCTTCCTTCAGTGTTGGGATTACAAGCAAATGCAATACTAAAAAGTATATTCACAGAGAAAACTATTGACAGTTTCTTACATGTTTAAATCCAGATAATATCCTATTGCACAGTTTTGGGTGTCATTTGCCAAATACTTCCAGGGTACCTACCAAACAATACTTAAGTCTGAGTGTCAGGTATCTTATGAAGATGAGTGCCTTCCAGAGGATTTTTTAAAAAAGATTTACTTATTTTAGTTCTTTTGTGTATGAGTGGTTTTGCCTGCATGTATGTAAGTGTACCATCTGTTACTCAGATAGTTCAGAAATGGGCATCATTTTCTCTGGAAATGGAGTTTTGGATGATTGCAAACCACCATGTGGGCGTTGGGAACTGAACCCCAAGTCCTCTGCAAGAGCAGTTAGTGCTCTTAACTGCGGAGTCATCTTTCCAGCCCCCTTGGGAGAATTGTAAATTTGACTGAAGGGGATTGGTGTATGTATGAGTATTGTACAATACTGTCTAGTGCTTCATCATGATATTAATCAAAATAAAAATACTTACATGGATCTAGGCATAGTGGCCCACGACTTTAATCCCAGCACTCAGGAGGCAGGCAGATCTCTGAGTTCAAGGCCAGCCTGGTCTGGTGAGACCCTATCTTAAACATTCCAAACAACAAACAAAACAAAACAAAACAAAAAAAAAAACGCTACACAGTGGATTCTACGCTTTGGAGAGCTGACAACTAAAGACTGAACACCACCCCTTCTGACTTGCAAAAATATTTGTCATCAGGATGTCTTTGTCCATGGGGGTGGTTGCATATGTGTAGGAATGTGTGCACCTGGCTGCCCGATGTGTAGAGGCCGAAGGCTGAAGTCAGGTGTTTACGGTAATTGCTCTCCAGCCTAATTTTGAGACCAGGTCTCAGTAGACCTAGAGTTTCCCAATTTTGCTAGGCCATCTTTATAGCCTGTCTGGTGCTAGCCCTGTGCCCATTATTGTGCTTTTGGCTTGTTTGGTTGGTTGGTTTTAGTTTTGAGACAGGGTCTCTCTACATAACCCCAAGCACTCAGGTCATGATGCTGTGCCACAAGCTCTTTGCTCAGCCATCCTTCCAACCCCATAATGTTCACATTTCATTTTATTTGGGGTTTTCAAGACAGGGTTTCTCTGCGTATCCCCGGCTGTCCTAGAACTCACTCTGTACATCAGGCTGGCCTCCAACCCAGAGATCCACCTGCTTCTGCCTCCGGGAGTGCTGGGATTAAAGGCGTGCGTCACCATTGCCTGGCTTACTTTCTAATTTTATAGAAAGGGTTCCAGAGAACTTGCCAAGACATATCAGCTCCAGGGGACAGCCAAATACACCTCTGGACACTACACCTTCTGTTTTCAGGGTGCACTTTGAACTTTCCTTGAGTAACCTGAGCCGGAATTAGTGTCCAATTTACATATCTATATGAATCAGCCTTATAAAATTATACATATTTTTATCAGTAACCACCTGTTCAATCCAGTATGAAAATGAAGTATATAACGATTTCTTTCTTTACTCACACTGATAAGGCTATCACAATTAGTATCTCTATCAATTAATGGGTTATGCTTAGTAATGTATTTACGAGGTAAAGATAATTATGTTTAGAAGTCAGGAGCTCTCCAAAAGGTGAAATATGATGTGGACTCATTGTCAACCCTATGCCAAGCTCTGTATCCGCTAAGAATCATTTAGTCTCTTCTCTGGTTGGGCCTATATGTCATTAAGGCCTAGAACCCTGGATAGCCTGTTTTCTGTCATTGCTCACTTTATGAACGCTACACATATGTCTGGAATGTATCAGATCTAGTCACCTTTGCAGTGTCTTTTTGGTTTTTGTTTGGTGTGGTTTTTCCTGCTGGAAAATGACCCTGTGGTCTCTTTGATAAAAAGCACCCGGTGAAGAGTAACTAATTACTCTTGCAATATGCCCCAGGGGCTGTGCTTCTTTTGACAACCTGGGGCTGATTAACAAACACATGACAGACTTGTGCATAGATGCCAGAGGTCAACCTCTGGAGTTGTTAGTTAGGAACTATCTAACTTGTTTTGTGAGACTGTGTCTCTTCACTGGGGCCTGCAGCTCAAGGATTCAGTTACACTGGCTTGTCCTGGAGCCCTAAGAGCACATTTGTCTCTGCATTCTGAGTGCTGGGATCACAACAAGCACATGCCTCCATGCCTAGATTTTTATGTGAGTTGTGGCTGTTGAAGCCAATTGCTCCTGTTTGTGCAGCAAGCGCCTTAGCCATTGGGCTTTATGCCTCAGGTAACATACTTTTAAGCAATAATTCAGAGCTAGGGAACATTAGACAGGTAAGCAAAAGTTTTGCTTTATTTTGAGACAGGGTCTTGTTATTTTCTGTAGGGTGGCCTCAAACTCAGGGTCCTCTTGCCTTAACCTACTCTGCTGGGATTAGGAGTGTGGCATCACCAACAGGTTGGAAGCAAAAGTTTTAATTGGTTCCTATAACAATCTGCAAAAATTTTGCACAAATAACAGTATAGAGAACCTCTCAATATAACAGTATAGTCATATGTTATATGTTATGATTCTACAAGTTAGGTGTAGAAGCTGTAATATATTTCCGTGGGATGTTGGAGAGACGGTTTGTGGGTTTAGAGCACTTGTTGCAATTGCAGAGGGCAAGGGTTTGGGTCCCAGTATTTTCATGGCAGCTCAAAATCACTGTAACTCTGGTTCTAGGGGATCCAGGGCTTTCTCTCCTGGTCTCTGTAGGTTCTGCACACATGCGATGTACATACAGGCACGCACACGCACCTGCCCACCCCCACAGACACATATGAATAAAATGTTTTAAATTATTTCTCAGCCAGTCTGTGGTGCCGCATGCCTTTAGTTCCAGCACTCGGGAGGCAGAGACAAGAGTTCAAAGTTAGCCTAGTCTACAGAGCAAGTTCCGGGACAGCCATGACTGTTACACACAGAGACCCTGTTAAAAAACAAAACAAAAAGTATTACTCTGTAAAACTAGTGTGTGTGTGTGTGTGTGTGTGTGTGTGTGTGTGTGTGTGTGTGTGTGTGTGTGTGTGTGTGTGTGTGCTCCCGGGTGTTTGTGGTTTAGTAGCTTGCTTGAGGCTGTATGTTAGTATGTTAGGTAAGTAACAGAGTGAACTTTACACCCCTCCCCCCATCAAAGTTTTCTTTGCTTTCTTGCTGTAGTATTACATCGTTGGCCAGAATCTGGGGTGTTAAACCTTTCCGGGTTTTTGTGGGTTTTGTTTTTTTCTAAAAATCACGTGGTGCTCTTGAAGCTTTCCGAAGTCTGGGGTGGAGATTGTGAGGTTCTACACAACCAGCACCCAGCATCAACACTAGGATTTGGAATTAAATTAACCCTACTCAAAGGAGAACAAGCATGCGTTTGTTCGGAGCTTGCTTGGCAAGAGGGCCAATCATCATCACTTGTCCTTCCCAGAGGCTTAAAGCAGGCAGGCACATGAGAAGGGTGTATAAAAATAGAAGAAAAGAAGAGGAAGAAGCAAGGAGGCGGGGCAGTAGCAGAAATCTAGAAATCTGATTGGAGGGCGACGGCTGGGAAAGTCGGGGTGGGCTACAAACGCTTGTGATCCGTCTTGACATATTTATATTTCCCGGGTTGGTGCCGCAGTGGAAGTGGGGGTAGAAACAGAAGTTGGCTTCCTGATTGTTCTGGTAGTTTCAGCAGAGGCTGTAGTTCGGTTTTCCGCGCTTCTTGTGTTTCAGAGTTCTCCCATCATGTAAGGTATGGCCATTGTGTGTCTGTATACTTTTATTCTGACAATACGCTAACAACCACCTCAGTTCTCTTATTCTCTCAGTTCTCTTGGTTCACCCTGACCTTCCAGAAAGCTCTGTGACAGCCGTGAACCAATTTTCAAACCTAATTACCAGTTCCTAGTCTTATGAGGTGCTCCTAAGGTTATTCAAAATCTTGCTGATACTTGCACGTGATACTTAGCTTTTGTTGCAATAAGAAAGTGGACTTTCGGGTGTAGCACAATGAACATTACCAGAAGGCTGGAGGTTGCCCCTTGCAGCTGCCTGTGTTCTAACACAAGTACCTTGAATCTTAGTGCCTGAACTCAGCCTTAACCCCAGGGTACCCCCACTTTTCCCAGAAGCTTCCAGGTTAACTCCTGGTGTGCTAAGCAGCCCCAAGGCTCCCTTCTGCGCGCTCTGCTGGAGGCAGCATGGAGTTTGTGGGAAAGCGGCTACTTGTAGCATTTGAAGGCGGCCCTAATCCCAGACCTTCGTTTCGCTGCCTTTTCTGGGCACTCTCTGTCTCTCCCCGCACCCTTCGGGCCTGGGTTGGCAGGAGGTCTCCAGGGACAGAGAAGGTACCCGTGCACGCTCCTCTCTGGCATTAACTGGGGACTCGGAGTTTATCCAGGAGCAGGCGGTGCGATGGGCGCGAGCGCGCGAGCGGAGCGGGGCTGACCCGTGGACGCGGCCCACCTGCTGCGGGAATAGCGCGGGGGCTGCGGGCGGAGGCGGGGAGCAGCGGTCACCGAAGCGGGAGCGGCTTGTGGGCTGGAGCTGCACTAGCAGGCGGCCTCCGCTGCGCCCCACCGCGCGTTTCCAAAGATGGTCAGAGGGTCGGGAGGCGCCCCCACCCACGCCGGCCATTAGCCCCGGTCCGCGTCCCGCGCCGCCAGCGAGGTAAGTCGGAGTCGAGCAGCCCGAGGCCGGCCGGAGGGGCGAGCGGGCCGCGCGGGAGACGAGGCCGCCAGGCCGCCCCCAGCTCGCGCGCACCGGAGCGCAGACAATGGCAGTGCAGTGCGAGCCGGGTGGGAGGGCGGGCTCGTGGGCACCGGGGGAGAGGGGCGTCCACACCTGTGCTCCCGGCCTGGCAGAGGCCGTCCGCACCGGCCAACGGCGGCGCGCGACGCCCCGGAGTCGAACCTCGCGCGGGGCCCCGAGGCGGGGCGCTCTCCCGGCGGGAACGCGGGCCGGGCCCAGGCGCTAGCGCGGGCTGGAAACCTTCGCTCGGGCCGGGCCGCTCTTCTGCTGTCAGCAAGCGAGCGAGCGGCAAGGCGCAGGGGTCCCTTTTCTGAGATTCTCTCCATCTTGGTGGCATCTCGGTGTGATTTGAAACCGAGAGACAAATGCTGAATTGGGGCCGACCTGCGGCGGGTTGACCCCCTTGGACACTTGGCCTGCGGAGTGTGCACTCTCAGGAACTGCCGGAGTGGGACAGATATTGGGTGGCTGGGGGTAGTAAGCCAGGATCCGTTAACAAATAAACAACTGAAAAATCTAAGGGCCTCATTTAGGGCTCCAAGCTATCTTGAATCTAAATAGACCTTCGTATAAATAGTTCAGCACATTTTGCATATGGTGTTTAGGAGGCTGAATTCAGTCTAGTCCCGGAATATGCCTGATGCCATCAATGTCTGATGATTGGAGTATTTAACATCAGTTATTAGAGACACCACACAAAACTGAAAACGTTTTTGTTTATGTCCATTGCAGCCATGGCTCTAAAAGGGCAAGAGGACTACATTTATCTTTTCAAGGATTCATCACATCCAGTGGATTTTCTGGATGCATTCAGAACGTTTTATTTGGATGGATTATTTACTGATATTACCCTTCAGTGTCCTTCAGGCATCATCTTCCACTGCCACCGAGTCGTTTTAGCTGCCTGCAGCAATTATTTTAAGGCAATGTTCACAGCTGACATGAAAGAAAAATTTAAAAGTAAAATAAAACTGTTTGGCATCCACCATGATATTTTGGAAGGCCTTGTAAATTATGCATATACTTCCCAAATTGAAATCACTAAAAGAAACGTACAGAGCCTTCTTGAAGCAGCCGACCTGCTGCAGTTTCTTTCGGTAAAGAAGGCTTGTGAGCAGTTTCTGGTCAGGCACCTGGATGTTGATAACTGTATCGGGATGCACTCCTTTGCAGAGCTTCATGTGTGTTCAGAACTAGAGAAGGAATCACGAAGAATTCTGTGCTCAAGGTTTAAGGAAGTATGGCAACAAGAAGAATTTCTGGAAATCAGCCTTGAAAAGTTTCTGTTTATCTTGTCCAGAAAAAATCTCAATGTCTGGAAGGAAGAAGCTGTTATAGAGCCGGTCATTAAGTGGACTGCTCATGACGTAGAGAATCGAATTGAATGCCTGTGCAATCTACTAAGCTATATCAACATCGATATAGACCCAGTGTACTTAAAGACAGCCTTAGGCCTTCAAAGAAGCTGTCTACTAACTGAAAATAAAATACGTTCTCTAATATACAACACCTTGAATCCCATGCATAAAGAGATTTCCCAGAGGTCCACAGCCACCATGTATATCATTGGAGGCTATTACTGGCATCCTTTATCAGAGGTCCACATATGGGATCCTTTGACAAATGTTTGGATTCAGGGAGCAGAAATACCAGATTATACCAGGGAGAGTTATGGTGTTACGTGCTTAGGACCCAACGTTTATGTAACCGGAGGGTACAGGACAGACAACATAGATGCTCTCGACACTGTGTGGATCTATAACAGTGAAGGCGATGAGTGGACAGAAGGCTTGCCAATGCTCAATGCCAGGTATTACCACTGTGCGGTCACCTTGGGGGGCTGCGTCTATGCCCTAGGGGGCTACAGAAAAGGGGCCCCGGCAGAAGAAGCCGAGTTCTATGACCCACTGAAAGAGAAGTGGCTTCCTATTGCAAACATGATTAAAGGTAAGTGTAGCTTTCATGTGTCCATGTTTTTACATGCTTGAGGATCGGTCGCAGTCTTCTGTCTTTGAGAAGTAACTTTCACAAGAACATACCGCACTGAGATATTCTTGAGGAACTACTGTAGATTATATAAGTAATTTGGCCTCAGTACTGTCTGAGTAAAAACAGTCCCCAGCTTGTCAGGACTTAAAGAAAGCCGCCCCCCCCAAAAAAAACCTCAGTCCGTAGAGTTTCACACCCCCCCTGCACCATATAAAACAGTCTTGTAGCTCATGCCTATGATCCCAGCACTCAGAAAGCAGAGACAAGACAATCAGCTACATAGGGCGCTCAAGGCCAGCCTGGACTACATAAGACTCCATCTTTAATTTTTTTAACTGAATGGAGTAAAGCATTTTAATATTTTAAAATGATGCTGTTCAGCTTAGAACAGAAAGGTAGCTTCTGTAAGGAAATAGCATAACTCACTCTCTCCTTACATCCCCCTTCTAGACCTCACTCAAGTGTTAACTTTTATTCAGCCTAGACTGACCTGACTATGGTTTGTTTTATTTGCTCTTCAAATGTTTTTCAATTCTGCTTTGTTTGTCTTTTTTGCTATATTTTATTTTTTGAGACAGGGTCTCTCTAGTAGCCATGGCTGGTCTGGAACTTGCTATGTACACTAAGCTGGCCTCAAATTCAGAGATCTGCTTGCCCCTACCTCCCGAGTGCTGGGATTAAAGGTATTCACCACCACACCTGGCTTGGATCTACATTTTAATATCCAGCCTTTCCCTCTTAGAATATACTGATCATCTCTGTGACGGCTCCCACTCAAACTTTGGGAGCTTAGCCCCTTCAGAGTGTAACACTGTACAATCTCCAGAGAACTAGAGATACACAATCCATGCTTTTGTGGTTCAGGCTTCTCTCCAAATAGAGGAGAGCCAAGCACACTGAATCCCAGTGTCATCTTCCTGATAAACCCTGTATCTGGTGATTTGGCCTTGCACTTCTTCCGTCCAGCTGGGGAAGGGGAGACTTCTAAAACCAAACCAAACAAAACAAAACCAGCTGGTAGATTCTTAACAAACTGGTGTCATGTGTCCCAAATGTTTCTTCCCAGGCCTTTCTGTTTCTTTTTTAACACTAGCGAGGGTGTGGGAATGTGACCTGGACTAGAAATTGCCCTGATGTGATCCTTGGATGACAAGCTGGAAGCTTAGAGGCAAATGGTCTTATGATCCCACACTGCCTCTGTAGCCAAGAAGCCAGGGTCCCAGCTCTGACTTTCTCTGCTCACCTTGGGCAGTGATTCAGCCCCTCTGCCCAGTGTCACTATCTGTCTGACAGGGAGGGTGGCATTAGCCAGCTGGGGGGTCTTGAGAAAACTAACAGACCATGTACAGAGTGTGGCACCCAGGAAGCCTCAGTATTGGACCTGCTTTTCACAAGCAGCTACATGTGTGGGTGGATGGATGGGTGGGTGGGAGAAAGTAGCAGAGAGCCTCTTTCTGCCTGGGCTTTGGCTTTGACTGAGTGTACCTAGGGCTTACTTACGGAATGACAGACTGATCCTGAATGTTCTGACTCCTCCCCCGCGGAAGAAATGAGCCAGGTTGTAAACCTGCAGGCCTTACTGTTTTCGTTTCTCAGTGATAACAACTTCAGATATTTTAGAGACATCTTTGAGGATGGAAATTTGTTGCTCTGTTGAAGATTTGGAGAGTTATATTTGAAACAGTGCTTGCTGGCCATGGAGTGGGGTACTCGCCCTGTGTAGCTACTAGGAAAGAAAACCCTATGCTTTTATCTAGCCTTGGTGGTATGGAAGGTTTCCATAGTCTGCCATCCTTCCCCGAATGCCAGCTGGCTTTTGAAATCACAGAGATTCATTCTTTCGTTTATTTTTTGAGACAGTATCTTGCTGTGTAGTCCAGGCTGTCCCCAAACCGACAATCTTCCAGCCTCAGCCTCCTGGATGCTGGGACGCCTAGTGTGAGCCACAGAAAGGGCAGAGGTGTAGTACTTGCTTTTGAAAGCGTTGTTCCTCTCTCCCTAACCCCGGGGAGGGGAGGGCTCAGCTCTAGTCGGTGCAGCTTTGATTTGCACTATTCCAAATTATACCAAAACTTTAGTTTCCCATTTTCCAGTAGAAAGAAGAATGCTATGTTTTCTCAATCGGTTGTCCTTGCATTCAGAAGTGAACTAATACCTTTCTTGGTAAGGTAAACTTCATTTGCACAGAGTCGAATTTCAGTTTCATTTCTGTTGGGGGAGGGCACTTAGGGATATGATGTACAGAGGAGAAATAAGCCCTTGGCTTCCTTGAGACAACCCCCCCCGTCTTTCTTTCATAACTACCTTGCTTGTAAACCCACTTTTACTTTGAAGTAGAGATCATCAAGGAGATTCATGTGCACTGGACGCATAACAAACAGTGTTAATCAGCTGTTGGTTGAAAGACTTAAAACTGCAGGTCGTCATCCAAAGGAGTCTCCCTTCTTACCTGGCTGGACCTGTTTTCACCTCCTTGAGCCTCTGTGGTCTCAGAGTGTTGCAGTTTTCCCAGTTCAGGACTGCAGAGTCAGCCTGGTTTGTCTCATCACTGAAGCCTATCTGTCTGACCCATCTCTCACCTCTGCCCTTCCCTTCACCCAAAGCACCTTCTGAGCCTGACCCTTGATAGTTATGTGAGTCGGTACCTGCATGATAGCCTACCATCCTTCTGAGTCCTCTCCTTCCTTTATAGTCCCTTCCTGCATCTGTTTATAAATCTGAAATGTCCTGCTGAATGAAGCCCGGACATTTAGCTCCAACCTACATTCGTCCTTAATTCTCATGTGATGACTCCCATTGTACTAGCCTACTTGACATTGCCTAATACGCTTCTGTGGGGCTCTGCTCTGCGGAGAGCATGCTCGCCTTCCTCGGCTTGCCAGAGACCTAACCACCAGGCAAATCATGTCCCTGCTGCTGTGATTTCTGCAGTCAAAAGCAATGTCTCTGATCTGACCAATAACGCTAGCATCTCTCTCTCTCTTTATGGTATTTTCCCCTTCCTCTAACTATGCTCTAACTATTTGTACTCCTGAAAGAGCACAAGGCGCCTTTAGTTTTCACTTTCACCCCTCAGCACCTAACAGTGCTTTGCATTTTACCACCCGTAATAACAAAACCAATAACAGAACAAAAGAAACCAATAACAGATTGGTATCCGTTTCAGAAAAGCATGAACAATCTAAGATGTGACTTTAATTGACATACAGGTGTGGGAAATGCTACTGCCTGTGTCCTACATGAAGTTATCTACGTCATTGGCGGTCACTGTGGCTACAGAGGAAGCTGCACCTATGACAAGGTGCAGAGTTACAATTCAGACATCAACGAATGGAGCCTTATTACTGCTAGCCCACACCCAGGTAATAAGAACCCTGTGCCAAGTATATAACCATGGTCTTTAGGCTGGTCGGGATGGTGCATAGAGTGAAAGTTGGGCAAGTGTCTCTTCTCTTTGAGAGACATGTTCACTCTGCAGTTAGCGCTCTATCCACTGAGCTGGCTCCTCTCCCCCAGCTGTCTTTTATTTTTAACCTATTACAGGGGATTGGGATTACAGTTCAGAGATAAGAGCATGCAGTTAGCATGGGTTAGGCCCTGGGTTCAGCTCCCTGTGAACGAGGGAATATTTTAGATTGTTACAGTTATGCCATATGTTTAAGAGTCTGCATTTGAAAGAATTCGTATCATGTCACCTTACTATTTGGAATCATTTTTTTTTTTGCAGAGCTCCAGGGTCACTGGAGTGGGAAATTAAATCTGTAAGCTTGAGATATTTATGACTAACAGTCGTATCTAATACCGTTGAGTACACACTAAGTAGGGATTGGCTAAGCACTTCACGTGTGACATTATCTTAAACTCTCACTGAAATTCTGCCCATAGGTATTGTTTACCATTTGGAAATGGAGGGTCTGTAACTTAGGAAAGATGACTAGCTTTTCCAAAATCACATTTTGAAAGCGGTGGCCCAGGATGCACATTCCACCTGTCTTGATTCCATCATCTGTGATGTGACCGGGAGGTAGCCAGCTTCAGCATAATGCAGCACCTTTCTTGTTATCAACCCATGTAGCTGATTGTCTATATGCTGATATCTTCACATGAGAGGAAACTTCGTCTGCAGGCTGCCCTGCCTCTGAAAACAGATGGTGTAGACATTGGTCCTAGTAATCCAGTCATGTTGTCTAGTCTAGATAATACTTACATCACTTTCTGTTGTGGCCAACAAAGTTATAATGGAAAGTAATAGTGGTAGGCCATTCTGAGTAATAGCTAATATTTACTTAGTATTAGCTAGGCACACTATTCCAATAATTTTACATGTATTAATCTGTTTATATTTGTCAACTTTACAATACTGCCATTAAATACCTGAGGCAACTAGCTTAGTTAGAAAGGGTAGCTCACAGCGTGAGGTTCTTTTTCAAGACTGGGTGCCACTCTGGTCTGGTCTCTGATCAGAGGGTAGGGTAATGATGATATCAGAGGCATGTGTTAAAGTGTGTACTTACCTCAGAGAGAGGACTGGCCAGAGTCAAACAGTGCTTCAGGAACCTCCCATAATGCCTCACCTTTTTATAACCCACAGCACCTCTGGGGACTGAGTCTTTATGTGCAGTCCTTTGGGGGACACTATCATATTCAAACCATAGCACTATCATTTATTTATTTAGTGTGTTTGTGTGTGGTGTGCATGCTCATCTGTGAGGACATGTGTGTCCACACTGTGCAGGAGCACACTGAACATGCCTGTGAAGGCATGACATGGAAATTGTCTCCTCGATTGCTCTCCACCTTTTATATTGAGCTAGGGTCTCTCCATGAACCCAGAGCTCAGTATTTAGGTTAGTCTAACTTAGCCTGGGGATCCCCCTCTCTCTGTCCCCTGCAGGGTTAGGATTTGGGTTAGGGGTTGGGGTTCAGGTTCTAGAGTCCTGAACTCTGCTCCTCATACATGGTGTCTTCGTTAGGTTTTTACTGCTGTGAAGAGACACCATGACCATGGCAACTCTTATGAAGAGAGCATTTAATTCAGATGGCTCGCTTACAGCCTCGGAGATTCGGTCCATTATCATCATGACAGGGAGAGTGGCTGTTGTGCAGGCAGATGTGGTGCTGGAGCTGAGAGCGCTACATCTTACAGGGAACAGGAAGTCAACTGTCAGTCCCACTGAGGGAAGCCCGCTCCCACAATGGCACACTTCCCCCAACAGGGCCACACCTCCTAATCGTGCCACTCCCTTTGGGGGCCATTTTCTTTCACGGAGCCATCTCCCCAGACACATTGCCATATTTAAACCTTGAAATCTCATGAGCTAGAGAGGTGCTGTTGCTTAACAGGTGGCTGAAGTGGTGACATCAAATTTGTTGCTCAAAGTCAGCCATCTAATGTTTGGTAGAAGTGAGGTTTAACCCAGGTAGCCTGGCCTGGGCTCCATGCGCTCCACTGCTACCTCATTTTGAACACCATGTTAAGATTAAGACCAGAGTCCCCTATTAAGCTGCTTATTTTGTGGTCACTCATCTTTCCAGCGAAAAGCGAATGCATGAAAAATCAGATTTAACTGGGTCTGGAGAGATAGCTCAGTGGTTAAGAGCATGGCTATTCTTCCAGAAGTCCTGTGTTCTATTCCCAGCAACCACATGGTGGCTCACAACCATCTATAATGGGACAAGATGCCCTCTTCTGACATGCAGATAGAGCACTCACATGCACTCATAAACACTCGTATGCATCAAATAAATACATCTTTAAGAAAAGAAAAAGAAAAATCAGAGTTACAATTTAGAAAAACACAGCTGGGCGGTGGTGGCACAGGCCTTTAATCCCAGGACTCAGAAGGTAGACTGGTAAATCTCTGAGTTTAAGGGCAGCCTGGTCTACAGAGAGAGTGCCAGGACCGTCAGAGCTACAAAAACAAAAACAAACAAAAAAAACATTCGGGGGGGGGGACAGAACAAGCCTCCCCCCAAAAAATAAAAAAGCATAGAATAAACAACAACAAAAAACAATTAGAAAGCAGTTATTTACATTAATATATCTAATATGCATTGTATAGGGAGAATCACTTTAAAAATAGGTGTCCTAGGACCAGAGAGATGGCTCAGAGGTTAAGGGTGCTTGCTGTCCTTGCAGAGGACCTAAGCTTAGAACCGGTTACTCACATGGTGGCTCAGTAGTCCAGTTCTGACCTCTGGGCACCAGCCATGCACAAGGTCCACACATGCAAGCACTTACACAGAGACACAAAATAAACATTAATGCCAAAAGATGAAGTGTCCCACAAAGTCAGTGAGTTGCGTATGGTTTACTGACTATTTTAAAAAGAGTCTAAAAGGCAATGTTACCTAAGCCTAGTGTTGGAAAGTACACATCAGCCCCCAAAAAGTACAGTATAAATCAGTAGAAACATACAATTGTAGTTGTGAAGTTTTCATTTATATTAAACTTTTCCTGATGAAATATTTTTTAAAGATTCTAATTAGCACCTTGCACAGTATATCATATTTGGCTGCCACAGTGCTTAAACTATTTTTGAATTGGCTTGCTACCAAAATTTAAAATTCAGAAGACTTCAAACCAAAATCATGGTTTGGGGACCTTTAAAAAAAAAGTGGTTAGCTCTTCTGACCTGCAGGGATACATGCAGACAGAACACTGTATACATAATAAATAAATCTTTTAAAAAAATGGTAAGGTCTGGCAACATGACAGTATTCCCTCCTGGCAGCAGGGATGAAAGCCAGGGAGTCGCTGTCCTGGTTAGATGAGGCTTATGTTTTCCATCTCACCATGATGCTTCCAATTCTGGTCACATCCCGGACCAAAGAACTTGGTCTGTTGTTTTTCTTGCTCTGGCCTGCTTCATATTGTGGTTATTGGGAAGAGGCAGCAGAAGGAGAAAAACAAAATGAAAACACTTTGAGAGCCTAAGTGAGGTAGGCCCTGTTGGAGGCGACTCCCAAACGCAGAGCCATGCTGCCCACGGCAGCCTTCTGCCGGGGACACCTTTTGTGATGGCTGAGTATGATAGCCATAGGGTCAGTACCTTGGATGTATGCTTTTCTCACTTGTGTCCCTGACTAGACCGGCAATGTGACAGAAGCTACCCAGGCAGTTGTCTGAAGCCAATGTAGTAGCTGACACATCAGGGGGTCTGTCCTTGGTCACAAGGTTGATGAGACCTTGGGAAAACTACACCAGTTACATAGTATAATGTCCTGTCAGGAGGACTGTACTGCTCTACAGTCTAGAAAGTTGATAGGTATCAAGAGTTGGAGATGATGTCAATGAAAAGCTCCATATGTATGTTGGTCAACTCCCAGACAGATGGTGGAGTGGGTTTCTTCTTATCATCTTTGGGAGCCAACTTAGGAATTACCATTAATGGTGATTGTTCCCCTGAGGGCTCATGGCTGAGCAGCAGGAACAGGCCATCTGAGTCAGATGGTAGGGATTGCATTTTAAGCCTCAGTGTACAACCGAGGATCACAGAATCAAAATGTCACCATGTGTCACCATTTCTCTGTTTTTGTGTTCTAAATTGCAGAGCCATTGTACCCAAAGTATGATAGCTCTTTTGTTATCAGAATTAAGACTTTGCGCTTTTCTTTTTTCCTCCCCAAAAGAATATGGATTGTGCTCAGTTCCGTTTGAAAACAAGCTCTACTTAGTCGGTGGACAGACTACAATTACAGAGTGCTATGACCCAGAACAAAATGAGTGGAGAGAGACGGCGCCCACGATGGAGAGGAGGATGGAGTGTGGTGCTGTCATCATGAATGGATGCATCTATGTCACCGGGGGTTACTCCTACTCAAAGGGGACGTATCTCCAGAGTATTGAGAAATATGATCCAGATCTTAATAAGTGGGAAATAGTAGGCAATCTCCCAAGTGCCATGCGGTCTCATGGATGCGTTTGTGTGTATAATGTCTGATTGAGTCCACAGGACTAACCAGGTCATCACTTGGGGCATAGTAAAAAGAATGCAGAGTTTGGGGTACCTTGTTATTGTGATTTGGCACATACCGGGCACTGGAAATTTTTAATTCTAACCCTGCAGACCCAGTGATTAAATGGGAATAACATAAGAAAAATGTTATGTATGTATGTATACAGTTCAACTAAGAGAGCAAACCCCTCCTAGGATCTCTGAGGTATCTGACACTTGGTAAAGGTGAAATACCTTTGTAGTGAATCTTTTCCTCCTGGTAGCATCAACACTGGGTATAAGTCAAAATCATTCATTCTGTGTTACGAAATGTCTGTTAAGAGCCTATGATATAACTGGGCATTGGTGGTGCATGCCTTTAATCCCAGCCCTTGGGAGGCAGAGGCAGACAGATCTCTGAGTTCAAGGACATGGAGTCCAACCTGGTCTACATAGCAGGTTCTAGGCTAGCCAAGGCTACAATGAGAACCTGTCTTTGAAAGCCTGTGTTGTACCTGTGTATATTACGGGTCTCTAACTGGCAGGAATTTGAAATATAAAGAGGGAACCTTCTCTACCTCTACAAAACCAACACTTTAAAATGTTTCCCTTTAGAATTCCTCAGAATGTGGATTTACTTACAGCATTTTCCTTTGGGGTGTATATAAGTTATTGCTGGTATTCTTTATTTACTATCAGAGCTATACTAAACACTGTACAGATGATTGTTCAATGAGTTTACAACTCAATTTAAAAGAATTGCAAGTCTAATATGACAGAGAAAATAGTCAAATATTTGCTTATGATAAGGACTGTTTTTAATTTTTAGCATTTTTAGCTTGGGTATAAATTGCTAGTTTAGGTGTCTGGCTTAAGCATGCTGGAACATCCTCTTTATAGTTAAATGTCTGCATATAAAGTTGAATTCCACAACCAGAAAGCATGTAAAACAGTGGTGATGCAGTAGAAAATACATCGAAAAAGAAGAATTGGCATTCATTGGCCAGCATTGCCACTGACCAGATTTTGTGGCTTTGCTGTCTGAGCCCATCTGTGACTAGAGGTTCCTGAACCACGTGCACTGGCACTTTGAGACATAGCTCTGTCTAGCTCAAGAACCCCTCAGCCTTTGAAGCCAGATGAGGCCCGAGTGCCCTCTGGGCCAGATAGCCCCTTTCCCAGCTTCCTCTGTGTGCTGCAGACACTTCCCAAATGTGCCATAACTTCAGAAGGGGCAGGAAGCACTGCTTAAGTTAATTCATCCAAACGTGAGTGAGCTGTGAGACCATCTACTCCATGCTAGGTTGGTTTTATTGTTTTGTTTTTTAAGAGAGAATACTTATTTTTTACTTTAAATAAAACTACTTCTGATTTTTAAAAAATCTTTTAAGAAGACTACTTAATACTCACATCACATAGCATTTTAAATAGATACAGCCCTTTGGAGTTGACACATGGTACTTTTTTATAGTCATAAAAGTGTCTAACTGTACTGGGCTATTGGGGTGACTCGGTAGGTAAGAGTGCTTACTTTGCAGGCCTGAAACCTGCATCTGGTTTCCAGAGCCCACGGTGGAAGGAGAGCATGGATTCTGGAAAACTCCTCCTGCCTTGCACACGGGTGCTCTGTGTGCCACGTGTGTGAATGCATGCACACACACAATGCAAGTAAATTAAATGTTTTAAATGACTGTGTCCTTTGCCCCATGAGCTCCCATTTTTAAACTAAAGAATGATGAAAAATGTGAATGCATGAGAATGCTTATGTCTGCATTATAAGTAGTAGCGACGATATGAAGAAAATCTATATATTAAAGAAAGTGAGCTAATGAAATAATGACGTGTACTGCCATGAGAATAACTGTTTGGAAGACTGTAGAAGTATGATGTGTCTGTGCTAAGTAAAATAAGCACAATGCAAACTCGTATTCATGCTAGGACTGTCACGCTAGCCTTTATGCATGTGAGAGGTTATGTGCTAGATAATTCAAGGTGTTAGTGTAAGGAGATGTGGAATGGTTTTAAATTTACTGAAATTTTTTCTTTGTATTCTCAATAAAAATAAATAAGTCACTGTATGTGTGGTGGAGACTGCTTAAGTTAGAGCCAACTGGGTTGAAGCAGTCTGAATCAGTGAAATAAATTAAAACACACTAAAATCTGTAATTTTTTTTTTTTTTTTGGTTTTACGAGACAGGGTTTCTCTGTATTGTTTTGGAGGCTGTAGCTCCAGCCTGGCCTTGAACTCACAGAGATCCGCCTGCCTCTGCCTCCCGAGTGCTGGGATTAAAGGCGTGCGCCACCACCGCCCGGCTAAAATCTGTAATTTTAATTGTAGGCTATCTTACTGTTTTATCAAGGACATTTTAACAGTCAACACTGGAGAAACAATACATTGTCCTGTATGGTTTTACAGTTTGTTTTGAGGAGCAACTGGGGACAATTCAGTCACTTTCCCCTCCTTTGCCAGCTCATCTGGATCCTGCGGGTGCTTAGCTGAACCTTCCCTGGGAATTCTTTCCCTCTAGAGAAGTTGTCATTTGTGAATGCACACTGAGTCTCCTGCTGGGACTAAGAGCCAGGCCCAGGTCTGGTTTTTAGTACTCTCAAGACCAGTCACTCGTATGTGTGTACAGTGTACAGTAGTGTCATTGCAGTCACTCCACAGGTGTATACAGTGTACAGTGTCATCATTTTTACAGACAAGGATTTCTGCAGTCTCTTGACAGATCTTAAAATGGTGTGTGATGGGGACATTTAATTATAGCTTCTTTAAAAGTTCTGCTTTTTGCTGATGATTTGCATGTGAAGGAAGCATTGAGAAAGTACACAAACCAGTCAGTTGCCCCAACTTTGAAATCCCTGCAGTAATGTATTTGATGTTAATATTTAATGCTTAGAGTTAATGTGTTTGATTTTTGTTGTTGTTATTGTTATTTTGGTGTGTGTGTGTGTGTTTTTTTTTTTTTTGAGACGGGATTTCTCTGTGTAGTCCTGGCTGCCCTGGAACTCACTATGTAGACCAGGCTGGCCTCAAACTCACAGAGATCCACCTGCCTTTGCCTCCAAGTGCTGGGATTAAAAGTTTGCACTGCTTGGCCCTGGCTCGGTGTGTTTTTTTTGTTTGTTTGTTTTTTTTGGTTTTTCGAGACAGGGTTTCTCTGTGGCTTTTGGAGGCTGTCCTGGAACTCGCTTGGTAGTCCAGGATGGTCTTGAACTCACAGAGATCCTCCTGCCTCTGCCTCCCAAGTGCTGGGATTAAAGGCGTGCGCCACCAACGCCCGGCCCGGTGTGTCTGAATTTAAAAGCCATTGCTTTGGGAAGTCACACACTGTTTACAGTTACAGAAATGATTTTACCCATGACTTAGGTACAATGACTTCGTTCAATTTTTTAATGTTGCCATTTCTCACAGGTTGTATTCTTGATCATAGCTGAAACAGAGAAGAGTGAATGTCTAGGACCTTGCTAATTAAAGACAATAGCCTTTGTTTTCAAAGCCATGTCAGTATGTCCCATGTCCCTGAATGTTTGTGTTTTCATATATTGAACCTGTAGCTCTCAGTATATATTTGAAACAGGACACATACTCTGGAAGTAATTGCAGTTAAGTGATATCCTGAATTAGGTCATCATCCAGTAGGAAAATGTCTTTATAAGTCACCACAAGATCAGAGCCCTCTCCCTCATGCCTCACTGTTTACCTGAACTTGGTGGCTGTTTCTTCCAACCTCCTTTTCTTTGAAAAGTAATTCAGCCACCCATTCTGTAGTGTGTTGCTATGGCAGCCTGAGCTGGCTGGTGCAGCTTACAAAGGAGAAGGCTCTTTATATGATGGGATCGTGGTGCCAGATCAGCAGGAGGTAGACAACCATCACCATCTCCTTTATTAGTCTGAAACTCGCTGCAGGGTGGTGGTGGTGCACTCCTTTAATCCCAGCACTCAGGAGACAGAGGCAGGCAGATATCTATGTTGGAGGCCAGCCTGATCAGAAAGAAAATGTCTGAAACTACCAGAAGTTGTTTTTTAAGTCACAGAAATACAGCACAGTTCTGCCTCAGAGAAGTCTTCCCGAAGACCAAGCCTGCTGATCTCGATCTCCCTCCCACTGTGACATACATAGCATCCCAACCTTGGCCAGAGCCAGCGCTGGCCAAGTTCTCTGCTGGTTTGATTGACAAGGGCTGATAGAAGATGCCATAGTGACTAGAAATGAAAATGGTAGTGTCTCGGGTCCTAGACTTCCTTGCAGACCCATCCCTACCTTCTTCAGTGTGGTTGTGTTAGCTTTTTTTGCTTTGAGCTCTTAGAAAAACAACAAAAACAAAACACAGAGTAATATCAAGAAGGTTTGTCTGTGGGTAGCCCAGTGGTGGAGTCCTTGCCTATTATTTGTGAGGCTCTGAATTCACCCCCTAACACCCCCACAATTAGGAATGTACAATTCATTGGCCTATTAAAGGGGGACTCTCTGGCCTTTTTCAAGACTTAACTATTTTTGGAAAATATCGTTTTTCATGCTACAGCAGTGTGGTGATTTGAATAAGAGTGGCTCCCATAGGCACATAGATCTGTCTGCGTAGTCATCAGGGAATGGTACTACTTACCTCTTAGGAAGTATGGCCTTGTTTTGGAGTGGGGGTGGGCTTGGCGGTCTAAAAGCCCACGCCAGGCCCAGTGTCTCAATCTTCCTTCTGCCTGTGGGTCTGGATGTAGAACCCTCACCTGCATCCTCAGCACCTTGTCTGCCTGCGTGCCGCCGTGCTCCCTGCCACGATGAAAACGGACCAAACCTCTGATGCTTTCTTTTTTAAGAGTTGCTGCGGCCATGGCATTTCTTCTTCACAGCAATATAACCCTGACTAAGACAGACAGACTACAAATTTAATAGCGTAAAGCAATGTAAATCACTTGCTCCCAAACCTAACAACCAGAGTTGGGTTCCTGGGACCCACACACTGGAAGCAAACAACCTACTCTCACAAGTTGTCCTGTGACATTTGCATGTGCATGCTGGCACAAGCATGTTCACACGTGTAAACACGCAAGTAAATAAGTAACTGTCAAAGCATCCAGGTGTGGTGGTATGCACGTTTAATCTCAGCATCCAGGAAACAGGCAGGCAGATTTGAGTTCTAGGCCAGCCAGCAATGTACACTGAGACCCTGTTTCAAAACAAAACAAAAACAGTAAAAATATAAATGACTCACCGTGTCAATGGTAGCAACCTTTAAAAAATTACTTTATGCGGGGCAGTGGTGTGGTGGTTGCACACCTTTATTATGAAGCCCAGGCTAGCCTCAAACTCAAGATCTTTTCATCTGTGCCCTCCCAAGGAGAATTACAGATGTGAGCCACTGTACCTGGCTGCAGTCTTCACTGGCTTGCCATCTAACTTATTCACATCTAATTTATTCACATTAGGACATGGGCATTTTTAGGGAGTATTAGATAAAATAACTGCCTTCCCCTGGCATTAGCATTCCAGTTGGCTGAATTTATCTTATGCTTTCTGAAGGAATTCTAACAGAGGGGTTAAAAAAAAAAGTCAAAACAAAACATGGGGAGCTGGGCCCAGACAAGAAAAGGCTTACAACATGAATTTCATGTGCCACGCTGCAGCGGACACAAACATGTCCATGAAACATTCTCAGTAACCAGGGGTTGACATCATCAAAACGATGGATGAGAATGACAGTTGTCATTTGGAAAGTGAGCCAGGAACGGTTAACTCTTACTTTGGCCCTGTGAGTCAGAATGTAATACTCTCTTTGGAGTTTCCCTGGGATGAGAACATGCTGCCTAACCCCCTGGTGAACACTGTCGGCTCTAATTGCCCACATCCTGAGAGCATTTTGTGCTGCTCACAAAATCATACCCTGTTATATCCATGACACAGCCAGTGTTTTGGCTTTTGTCTGAGATCCAAACCAAACCACAAGATGGCACACCTACAAGTATCTACAGAGATTGTGGCTGGGCGTTCTGAAATACCAGGGCTGTATAAAGCAGGCTTAATGAGGTGCACCCAGTAATTATCCTGCCCCCAATCTTCACTCACTGGCATTTACAGAGCCAGCTGGGCACGTGTAAGCTGTGAGCACCCAGCCAAACCTGTCAGGCGCTAAACATGTCTTTTGTTAGAACGCCCACAGATAGTCTCTAGTTCTAATTCTTTCCTGGACAGATGGACCAGAAACATGTTATTTGTAGCTTCCTGAGTGTGTCTTGAGTTATTTATGGCCTTTTGTTTCTGTTTCTGAGACAGGGTCTCCTGTATCCCAGGTTGGCCTCAAATTCACTGTGTAACAATGGTTGAATTTCTGACCCTCCCCCAAGCATGTGTCACCACACCCGGATTTATGCAGTACTTAGGACTGAACTCAAGGCCATATGCGTGTAAGGCAAGTACTACATACCCAACCCTGTGACATGCCTTTTCTTCCAGCTTCTCATCCTCAGACCTTTCTCATCATGGACACAAGTCACACTATCTTCCCAGTTAAGAGATGAAGCCCTGACTCAAACCCCCTGAATGTGGGTGTCAGTGAGGAGGCCTAGGTATCTATGGGGCCTTGGGTAGTATTTATCCCTGGTGTACAAACAGACTTTGAGCGCCCATGCCACAATATGGGAGGCTGTCTCAGCTGGGACTCTTGGGAGAGGCCCCAGGCCCTGCCCTGGATGAAATGACAGTCACTGGAGATCCACCATGGAGGGCCTCACCCTCCCTTGGAATCGGAGTGGGATTGGGGGACCTGGTGGGGAGGGCGGAGGAGGAAGGGAGGGAGAGGGAGCTGGGATTGACATGTGAAACAAGCTTGTTTCTAACTTAAATTAAAAAGAGAGAGAGAGAGATGAGGCCCTTAAGCCATTTGAGACCATTTGGATGAGTTTATTTTTAAAACTTTATTGTTAAATATAATAGGAATATAGAAATCTGTGTGTATCAGTTATTTTCCTTATAGGTTGGCAGAAGGCCTGATGGCAGAGGAAAAAGACCTTCTTTCTGTTGTTTTATGACTGAAAGGACACAGTCTATCATGATGGGAGGAGCAGGGGGTCAAGAGCTTGAGG